GATGAGAGAGAGTGGTGGGAGGGAGGGAGTGTGGGATGAGAGAGGGTGGGGAGGAGGGAGTGTGGGGATGAGAGAGAGTGGTGGGGAGGAGGAGTGTGGGATGAGAGAAGTGGGTGGGAGGAGGGAGTGTGGGGATGAGAGAGAGTGGTGGGAGGGAGGGAGTTGGGATGAGAGAGAGTGGGTGGGGAGGGAGTGTGGGGATGAGAGAGTGGGTGGGAGGAGGGAGTGTGGGGATGAGAGAGAGTGTGGGAGGGGGGAGTGTGGGATGAGAGAGTGGGGGGAGGAGGAGTGTGGATGAGAGAGAGTGGTGGGAGGGAGGGAGTGTGGGATGAGAGAGGTGGGTGGGGAGGAGTGTGGGGATGAGAGATGGGTGGGGAGCGAGTGAAAATAACACCTTGCGAGGTACACAGAGGGCAATGACGTAAAAGGGAAAAAGGGTATTTTTTTAAATGCCGTTTCGATTAAAATGTACATTTACCAAAAATAAAATCTTTACAGCATCAACAATAATTTTCAGATCAAGTACAATCTATATCTAGACACTAAAATTACATTCGGACTCCTGTCTCTGGTAAATGAATAAACTTTTGATTACAGTAACAAAATAAATACACACACACATAACAATTATAACAAATCGCTTTCCTATTACAGTAGCAAAATAATAAATGCCATTGTCAAGTAACAAACTTCCTCAGATGCTCTTTACAAGCTTCTGATCTTGTCAAGTTCGAAAAGCTCTCCAGTCCGTGAAAGAGCTCAGGTCGCAAGTCAGGTCATGCTTGGGAACGCCCTGCCCAGCATCTCGAGGCGCGCCAAGACAGTCCCGTTGCCTTCTTGCCCAGAACGTAATGCCTCGGAACGGCGGGGAACGTTTGACCCGAACGTTTATGTAGAGCGACCAGCGCACTCGAGGTGTGCTCAGCTCCGTCGTCTGGCGAAGTTTCTCGCCTGCGAAGAAACGTTAATTGAATATTTCTGTAGAAAATGTAAATGGATATCCTCACTAATTACCGATTATTTTAAGAGCAAGATGAACTTTCAAATTAGTTCCTTTTTGCCTAGGACAAATTTTAGGGTATATAAACAAATGCAATCATGAATATCTTAATTCCAAAGAGTCATCTGCATAACTGAGGGATTATGGGATTTTTTAAGTGCTTATCACAGACCTTGGATAAATAAAATTGGCACAAAACACAAGGAAATAGAATCCATCGCCATGCAAATTTATGCACTTATGCGGAAAAACTCAAAAATAAAAAAAATCAACATTCATTAGCTCCGTCTCGCTTCATCAAATAATCATTGCTATTTACATATACTCAATTTATCAAAGAAATCAAGATCGCACCCAATATAGTGAAGACAGCGGGGAACCTATCCTCCTGAACAGCCAGGACCACAGCAGACCCGGAAGATTCGCTGCCGGCATGGAAGGCTGTCACCGAGGCGGACGTGGAGAGCTGGGCCGAGTCACGCCATGCCACCTCACCTTGACGATGTCCACGAGTAGAGCTGGCGAGTTAGGAGGAAGAAGTAGGTTCTGTCGCTACAGTGCATGATTTGTGGGTAAACAAGGCATGATTGCGTGATTAATTAAATGGTCTGCAGTGAACCTATCACTGTTGACAAAGTAGAAAATTATGAATGAAAATGAATATCTCCATAATACCAGATTTATTTGACCATTTCGAATATTTCGAAACTAGTCAAATACACCTCTTGTATTATGAAGACATTCATTTCATTCATACTTTTTCTGGATCTGACCGTCTCAAATCTACTGCGCACAAAAAACCTCTCCCGCCTATCCTTCACTCCTGCCGCCCAACGCAACATCAGCAATTACGGCCCCTTTCCCACTCTTTAACAACTCCTCTTAATTACCTAAGCCTCCTCCCTTACCTCGACGTGGTGCGTGTCCCCTGTGGTGAGGGACTGCGTCACAGCCCACCAGGAACACATGGCCATGTTGCTCCACCAACGCCGCGTCCCCACCCGCGCCACATCCACACCGCCACCTGCTCGACGAAGCCTCCACTTGGATGGACCCGAGGCCGCCCGCGCTCCGGAACAGGACCGAGACGCCGTCCTGCGTCGTCAGGCTCGTCGTTACGTCTGCGAAGCCAATGAAGGGAAGCGAAAATGACGCGATTTTTTTCTATGTGGAGACTGCCAACTTTGTCATGAATCTTTCCGAACTAAAGAAAATTAAAATTCCCGAACACTAATCCCACAAAAATAAGCAAGAACAAAAATCAAACTAAATAAACCTCAATTATTCCAAAGCAAGTAACTTATTTTCTTTCTTTTTTACCAAATTGCCGGTCAACGGAATCAATCTCTTCGAAGAGGCGAGTTGTCGAGTTGAAAAGATAAACCAAGTTCTTGCGCTGAATAAAGGCTCAGTTTCAAGTCGCCGTTCTTCTCGTGCGTTTTTGTGAGCCTGTCCTGCGTGTAGCTCTTGGTAAGTCTGTGTAAATTACGGAAAATACGAGGGAATTAGCAGCAAACAAGATAAATGTGTAAGGGGAGCAAATGCAGTAAATAAGTAAAAAGTAACTTAAAAAAAAATCTAATCCAAAATCAATCCATTACCCTTGACATCTCCAAGAGAATCCTAACGTTTTTCTAGCAAAATTCCATAAACGTTTTTCAACAAGACTTACGACAAGCTGGCCATCTATCATTTCGAAGACGACCGTGCTGCGTTGACTACAACTGTTGTTTTCATCGGATGCTGACATGACCACGAATGCCTGATAAAACACATGATAAAGCTCTAGAATAACTTCAAAGACAATTAAACATACATTTCTTACATGGATATACTTGTCTAAATTACGATGCTATGGAGTGGACGGAATTTCAAAACTGTATTCAAAAGCAAAATGAAGTACAAATCAAGAATAATAATCAAACTCAAACAAACGCATACTAAACAAATTTCTAAATTACAATCAAAAAAATAATAACAAAACAGTCACAGCAATTAATAATAATAATGATAATAATAATAATAATTACACATACCTAAAAAATATAACAATAGCAATAACAATAACAATTAATAATAATTAATGATAATTAATAATAATTAATAAATTAATATAATTAATTAATAATCAATAATAATAATTAATAATAATAATAATGAATAATATAATATTATTATTTCACAAACCTTATAAATTCACTGCAACTTTACCTGGTTAAGGGTTTCAATAAACAGCCAATCATGTCCGTAACCCGACTCGTGCAGCGTCTGACGGGGTTCGAGAGCGCCCGAAGTGGAATTGAAACTCGAAAAGTGTCGAATCGCATCGTCTTCCCAAACTCATGATGACGTAAGTCGTGTTCGGAGATCTGGGGGGGGGACACAATATTTTCTTCATAATTTAATCTATGCTCATCTTTTTTGAGGTTTTAAAAGCTGAGAATGGAGAAACCCGCCAATTCTGTTTATTTTTTATGTATATGTACTTGCTTTTCAGATATTTATAATCTCATCGCCTAACTCCTCCAAAAACACACACATCTTCATTCATCAACACAAATCTATATATCAATCTGTCACTACCTTATTGCTTAGTAAAATGGGCTACGCAGATCTGTTGTTTACGTACAACAGGGAACATACACTGCGACGCCTCTCTTTCCCACGATCCTACTTCCAACGCACGTATATCTAAAACGCCCTGCACCTCTACAGGTAAACTACACGGCTCACACACCTACCCCCTAACACCTACAACCAGGTTCTACGCCCTTATAACCCCACCTGCTACTCCAGGTTCTCCTCCAAGCACCACCCTACACGCTCCCTAAGCCCCTCCCCCAAGACCCCCTCCTCCCCATCACACTCACAGTAAAGGACGTCGAGGCGTGGTGGGCGAAGGGCGTCGAGGCCTCGCAACAGAGACGAAGTGGTCGCCCTCGAAGATCGAATCCTCGAGCTTGGCGAACATCTGCGTCGCCGAGGGACACTGCTCGGCGAAGTCCGTCTGGGAGGTCGGAACAAGGTCGCAGTAGGAGAGGAGTGCAAGAAATGCGATTCGTATATAAAAGCGAGTGAGTGAAAAGAAGAACCTAATTGTGCGATACAGAATCTTAGCAAGAAAAGTCTTTGTTATTTATCATATATATAACTGGATAATATAATAAGATTCAATCACAATTACGAGAAAAGTCTTGCTAAATAAAATGCCGCGTTTGAAATCCAAAGCCATGCTCGCATAAAAAGCAGCTTTAACAATTAACAATGTATGCCAATTTGAGTTTCAAATACGAATTTTCCATGTGTTATATTAGAATTACTTATAGGAAGAATACAATTTTGGGTTACAATACATAAATTGCCGTTACATATATCATACATTCCGCTCGTTTCGGTATGGTGCTTAATGCGAGAATAGCAGTTCGATTCCATACAAACTATTGAACTGAGCCTTTAAGATGTAATTAATGGATGAAAGCAAGTATGCTCCTCACTGTCCATTATATATAATGGTGGTGACTTTATGAAAGAAAAAGATATTTATAGTAGTGGTGTTGAGTGTTATATGATAATGATAAATGATGGTGGAAGTGACTGTTGTATCATAATAGTAATAATAAATGGAGATAATTGTTGTATTATCATTACCATAATAATAATAATAAAAGGTGTATCATAATAATAATAATGGTGACTATTGATGTATTAATAATAATGGTAATGGTGGTGGTGATTGCTGTATAATGATAGTGGTCATATTAGTAACTTGTATTATTATGATATACAATAATAATGATGGTAGTGGTGGTGACGTATATAACTAAAATATAGGAGATGAATGCACATACAGCAATAATGGTGGTCATTCTGTAACAATAATTATGGCGGTGATTGTCGTATAACAATGGTGGTGGTGATAGTTATATAACAAAGATGGTCTTGGTAACTGATACATCATAATGATGGTGATTGTTATACAACCATCACCGCCATCACTTTAATGCAACAAAGACGGTCTTAGTCATTGTTATTACCGCTACTACTGTTAATGATAGTGGTAGGAGTGAATGCCACATACAAACAATAGTGGTGGCGACGCTTAAAAAAAAAAAAAAAAAACGCCTTTGTCGAAAAAAACCTACCTTCCTCATATTCTGCAATGCGTTGAATCTTGAGATTGCGGCCTCGGTGTCATTCAGAAGCTTGCATATTCCTTCGGTTGTGTGTTCGACTTTGCAGACGAGCCCATCCTGTGTACGGATGGAATGGTTTCGCGGTTGTCAATTCAATTTTGGGGTCTCGATTCTTGGGGTCATATTTTCCCCATTCATTAAGCCTCTTTTATGATCGCTTCTATAATCATTAATCAAGGTGAATAGCAATATAGATAGGTGTATATTACTTTACTTGAAGTAATTTTAGCGAACTTGTTTAGGATAAAAAAAACGAAAATGCAGTACACAAGAGACTCATGTATCCTGTGTATACCCAAGGCACCTATGTAGCATGTGTCCGTTATCATACATTGTCTATGTAGGTGAGTGTAGGATTATTTGGGCTTTAAATACGTATAGTTTTTGCCTTTTTTTCAAAAGCGCGGCATAGATACTCTTGTTCTTTTATTGTACATACCAAGAGCTGAACAGGTGCCATGAAGCTCAGATCAGCAGTGATGAGAGCGGGGGCGTCGACGTACCACGCCTTGGCAAACAGTTCCTCGACGTCCACCCGCTCAACACACTGCTGGTACTGGTCACGTTGGCTGCCCTAAGTGGCTTGCTGAAGGTTAAAGAGCCTGTCGTGGTAAAGAGTGTGGTTTTAATACATGCTAAAATGGGAGGAAATTAGCAGCTGGTTGCTATATTACCAGCCCCTTATACAATTAGACTTGGGAAGAGATTAAAAGTACGAATATTTGAATTATAAATTATGATTATCTAACCATTTCTATCTATGGATGTAAATACATCTAATACGTATCAACTTCCGTATAGGTTCACTAATGTCACCTTGGATTTCGGCGCTCTCATTGAGGTAGATAACTTGCTCAGACAAGTCAACCCAATCTTCATCGTTTTCCAGTCAGTCCTGTAACATGAACCTGGTTCAGGACCTCCACAGGGGTCGTTATAATCATGGATCCTGTCACTGTCTGCCCTGGAATTTGCTGGAAAATACAATAATTTTAAGTAAATGGATTAATCTTATCATGTAAACTGTTCATAATCGTAATTATGATAACAGATAAAAATGCATGTTGTAAATAGTTATTTTTGTAAATGTTTGGGTTTGCGAGAAAGCTTTTATATTTTTCCCGTCATTTACTCCCTAGAAACAGTAATGAACAAACTTTTCTGCATCTTCATGTAAATATTTAAACCATAGCTTGTAAAGTACAACAGAAAATACCTTCATAGTAGTCCGTACTTCGTCAGGCAAGTAATACCCGTTAACCTTCCCTCCTACGGAGACGTTTGACGTGATAATGTTGTTCATCGTCACTTCCCTCGTGAAGTTCTGGCTCCGTGAAACGAGCAGGTAATCCGTCATGAGGTCTGCTTCATTCAGGGAGTTCACGTTGATGTCACCGAAGGAGGATATATTTCCAGAGAACAACTGGCGGAAACATTCAACTTCAGAAAATTTCTTACAAGTGATGCCTTTGTAGTTGGACGGCAAGGAAAATGTTACATGTAATGAGTGATTAATAAACGAACATAAACCTGCACTTACGATGGACTTGTTGAAATGGTAGTCTTGGTTAACATAAACGGCATTTTCCAGTAAATTTTTGTGATCGACTCCATCAATTGTACCCTAGAACAGTCAATAGATCATTAAGGTCCTTCTACACATAATTATGGTTATCAATGCCTTGCAAAAATCGATAGAAGGGGAAGATATCAATCTAACACAAGTTCATTAATGCCTCACCTGAACAGCTACAGAAGAGGAGACGAGCGAAGTCGTGGTCATAGTACCATTAACAGTGATGTCAGAAGTAAAGTTGGCGCTTGGACTTGACCTAAGTATCGAATGACTCAAAAAGTCGTCAAATGTTCTGTCATTGAGTTTAGTCAAGTTGATGGTGCTGAAGGTCGTGTTTGACGTGAAGTTCTTCCCCACTATGTCTACGCTGAGGTCTTGCAATGACACTGCATCGTCCAACACTTCATCCACGTTTAAAGAGTTGACAGTACCTCTCAGATCGAGGTGGCTTACATTTACTTCCTCGTGGAAATTTATATTCACTGGAAAACATAAACGTGTTATTAAATCATCCACATAGAGATGGATCAGCAAACCTTACAAGACCCCTCAAACTCACCGAAACTGTGGTTACCGAGATTTTTCAGAGCTATGGCTGCTATGTCGTCCAGTTGGATTCCATTGAAATTCTCAAGAGTTAAATTCTTTTTGGCTTCCAAGTTATGAAAGATGTAATCAGCCGTGATGTTTTGGTCTGTGTGGAGAGTAAGAAGTTTCGTCCGCAGATCTACACCATTGGTCGTTTCTGTGTTGATATTGCTTTTACATGAAACCCATTCTTAAAGGTCTTCGTGTCTGAAAAAAATGCCAATACAATTGATATTGTGTAAACTAGTATCTGATATTAGCAGTATCTGATACTAGGTTCATCCATTACCTTCATATACTGAAAAATCATCTCTATTTACCTGTGATATTTTGAGAAGTGTTTACATATTTAAAGACAGTGTTTTCACTTAGCACTTGTAGATTCAGAGTGTTAACAAGTCCTTCCACAGTTATGTCACCTCGTAGGTCTATATCAGACCATGTTGCACTGCCAGTCATTGTGTTATTGGAAGCAAGACTAACGGCATTTCTATCAATCTTACTGATGTTTAGACCACTGGCACCAACTTTACCTTCAGTTGTAACAGGTCCCAATATGTGCAAATCATTGAAAATCAGATCTGAAAATATTTCTGAGGAACCAATGTCAGTAACAATATCCTCCTTAAGTCTCCAGATATTGTAACCGTTTATCGTGTCTGCCACGAAAGAGTTCAAAACTGAAACGGTATTGTTGATGATCAATTCACCAAAATGCTCAGTGTGGTTCTTCAGACTTACACGAATGTCATTCAGTTTAGAGATATCAATACCATTCACTGTGAAACCTTCTGACAGGTCTATCTGGTGGGTTTCAACATCACTGAAATTGGCATAGCTGAATGACTGAGGGGCAGTAAATGTTTGATTGCCCGTCTTGGTAAAGACCCTTGTAAAATCAATACCAGACACTATTCCGGTCACATTTAAGTCTTCAGCAAATAATAGATCTTTGAATGTTTTCTTTCCTGTAACCAACTGTTTTGATTTGTCCAAGTACAGTGACGAGTTTACAAAGTGATCCAAGTTGACGCCATCTACTGTACCATTCACTTGTATCGAATTAAATATAACATGATCTTCAAAGGTTGTTTTCCCTGTAATTGTACTGGTGCTACTGGTCGTCACAATATCTTCAAATCTGTGGCCGTTAAAAGTGCTTTCGAAGTCAGCACTTGTAATTTCCAGCTCTCCTCCAGTGAACAACTTTAAGCCTGACAAGACAGCCAAAGGTTCATCATCATACACAATATCATCCGCAATCTCGAGCAAGTCAAGCCCATTTAAGTTACCACTGTAAGACAGTGCTGGGACTTGGACTGGCTGTTCAAACACCAAGTCTATCATTAGGTCTTCCAGATGCGATGAGTTGGAGAGACTTGCATTCAGGTTGTCTAGATTCACTCCATCTATTCGTTTCATGTCAATATCTAGGTCTCCTAGAACTTCTATTCCTTGCGTGAAGACCTTCCTCCCTGTAATATTCTGGGGAGTGTCAAGAGTGACCAGACTACTCGTGTCCAAACCATCTACCTTTGCTCCTGGTAACAGACTTACTGTTCCAAAGCTCACATTATGGAAACTCTTGGACCCGAAATTCAGGCTCGTGCTTGTCGTCCTCAAAAGGAAGTCATTACCAGGGAAAGGTTCTCCATTTACTAAGCCTCTAATTAGCATGTCATTCTCCACAGTCACTTGCAAGGGCACGGAAAGCACTCCTTCCAAAGTGGCTGGTCTGTTTATGAAGACAGTTGTTGACATGAACTCTGTAGTATTAACTCCCATTATGGCTCCAGCTTCAAGATGTTCCACAGACAGGTTTCCGTTGAAGAGCAAGGTGCCTGATACGGAGCCACCAGACACACGGAGGGAATCTTCAAACAGGTGTGTGACATTCATATTGCTGACTATGCTCGAAAGCACTTCTACATTTCCCCTCACTAGAGCACCGCTTCCGAATATGCACTGATCTGGAACATGGATAAAGGAGCATGCAGGTTTATTAGCACACAAATTTAGAGTATGAAACCTGCTTTCGTAAAACATCAAACCAACATTTCTAATATCACTATATAGGTCTATGAACATGTCATTACAGAAGTCTTAACCATAATTTAATCAACACCATTACCTAATGTGGCGTCTCCATCAAGAAGAACCAATTCTTCCGACAGGTCAACGCCCCCAACTGTTCCACCATCAGGAAGGGTGACAGTATGTGCTCTAAGGGTGTTCATGGTAACTGTGCCAGACACTTGCTGTGAGCCGGAAGTAGTTAAAATATCACTCACGGAAATATCATCTAGAAAGCCTGCGTCGAGATGAGTGATGTTCAGTCCCGATGTAAAGGTTTTCTTGCCAGAAATCTTGCGTGAATCGTTTACTCTGAAGAATATATTAAATCAAATTAATATTTTAAATCATATTCATATGTTATATCCAAAAGTGTTTGTGATTTGTATGAATGATAAATCGGAAGTCTAACCCAGACAAAAACTATGACACCAACTCCATACATGCAAAGTGGATTTTACAACCAAAAACGTCAAATACGTTTTCTTGTTACATAACTGGCAAGCACAGGAGTGATCCATCATCCACTAACCGGACAATACTAAGCAGCGTCTGAGTGAGTGGGTAGTGTTCACCAGAGACGTCTACAGAGTCCTGCAGTGTTGCTTGCTGGGCGAACAGAATGCCCGCTGACAGCCCACCTTGTACCACCGTCTTCGAACCCTCCACCACACGCTCGCTGCCGTGGATACTTACTGCATCTGTAGGCCACAAAAGAGGTATAACGTTACATTACATACAAAAGGAATGGTGATAACAGCAATAACCTAGTCAAAATAGGATCATCATATCTATCATCAACATTACCATATTTACTGCATTAAAACGTACACCTCTAATTAGTATATAATACACCCACAGTACGTGACTGAGCATTCAAAGTGAAACAAAATTTTAACAAACGTCTTGTAATCATACCGTCAAGAGTGTCGTTCATAGTCCTCAGCTCCGAGTCCAAATTAATCAACCGGTTTTCTAGGTCAGCAATCTCCTGTAAGTAATTGTCATACATTTGCTCTTTTGCGGTATCATTGGCGTCTTGGTGGTGGATGGTGATCGTGGTCGAGCTCATTGTTGAGGTCTCGAGTTTCTAAAAAAAAAAAGTAAATCAGTAAATAAACAAAAAACACGGCTGTTGTATAATTCCGTAAGACAAGATTAATGCTCGAGGAAGAATTTTATACATAAATATACACAAAGAACTTTCGTAAAATTACAAAATCATCATCAAGAGACCAAATTTCCTTGAACAATATTTTTAAAAAGACGGTCATTTATCTAATCACTTTTTACG